TTTCGAAACATTCTTTTTTTTTTTACTTTTAAACATTTTATTTTCATCTCTAAGTTTCCTTATTTTAGTTTTTCCAACCCTCCAAATCTATTTACAAAATTATTGGTTGAAATACTGATTTTTATATTTTTAATTTTTGTATTTCTAAAATGTCCATTTCGCTTCTCGTACTTTTAAAAAAGGATCATTTTAAGTATGATCATAATTTTAAATTAAATGACTTCTATTACATATAAAATTTGTGTTTAAATTTTTATAAATGGGACCAAAGTGGGGTTTTTCGGATGGACTTACCTCAAATTTCTGGTCCAAATGAAATATGTCCACTCTTTAATATATATTTTCAATTTCTAACTTTTTAAAAATAGAAAATAAAAAAAGGCAAACATGTTTTGTTTTCTATTTTTTTAAACTAAAAAAATAAAAAATAGTTATCAAATATATATGATTTTTATTTTTCAAAACTAAAAACTAAAAAAAAATTAAAAAAATGGTTATCAATACAATACTTTTAAGTATGAATTAAAATGAATGAATATGCAAGTTAGATTCGAACATTTTGAGCTTCACATAAATCCATGAGCGATTAGGCAACTAAACATTTAAGAAAATAAAAAAAAAACAAACAAACAGACAAATTTTAGGTCTATTTTATTTTTATTAGAACCTATAAAATATTATATTTCGTTACATTATAGTATTTCAACTATCAACTTTGTATAAAAACTTGTTTTTTCTTCTTCTGTTGGTCACTTTTCATGAATCATTTTGATTAAAAGATTTATCCACATAAACATTTATTGAATTAGATAAATAATAAGGTATGTGTTTGTGTTAAAATTTTATTAAAAATTAATAATAATAAATAAGATAAATTTTTATGCAAAATTTAATGATTAAAACATAAGCGGATTCAAATATTTTGGAAGCTTTATATGCAACTCATAAACGATTAAATAACATCAAAAATTTTAATTTATTTAATTTTTATCTCTAAACTTTCAAATATTCTTTATTAGTTTCAAACTAAAAACTATTTTGACCTGTTTTATTCGTTTTTATCAATTATTTAACCATCACTAAAGTTAAAATAATTATTCATTCCATATAGACACTTATTGACTAGGTAAATGAACAATATTTATGTTCTGTGCAAACTTTTTTATTAAAAAAATTAACAATAAAAATTAATACTTTGTTTGATAATCATTTTATTTTTAGTGTGTTGTTTTTAAAATTAAGCTTACAACCACTACTTCAACTTATGTATTCCTTTGTTTTGTTATTAACTTTTTAAAAGCGTTTTCAAAATCTAAGGTAAATTTTGAAAAAAAAATACAATTTCCAAAAACTTGTTTTTTTTTTAAAGTTTGGTTAAGAATTCAAATATATGATGAAGAAAGGTGAAAATATACTAAATAGATCGCGAGAAAATAAGTATAATTTTTTAAAAAACATAAAACAAAAATTAAATCATTATCAAACGGGGTCTAAATTTTTTCTAACACGAACATAGTTCAGCTAATGAGGACATTAATTATCTCCCTAATATCGAAAATTATAATCCCCACCCTCTCCTTGACCTAACAAACACCAAGGTAGTTTTTTTTTT